GGGTATGTGTATACCTATGTATATATAACTATGTATATACATATAATATATATAAAACTATATATAACTATAATATCAAAACTATTCTTGAGATGGATTTCAAAGCTGTTTCTGGTGACTGGGTCCTTCAATCTCTGGGTTTTGAGAGAATTTCTTGCTTATGTTTGACGTTCTACGTAATTTTAATTTAAAATGGCTTGACAGTATATGATGGTCACCTCGAGCATTAGCACCTCTTTTCGCCTTGATATCTTGAGGGATGTCTTCCATTTTCTATTTATTGTGATGTGGTCAATCTGATTCTTTGTTTTCCGAGTTTAAAAAAAACCATGTTTATTTATGCATGATATGTCTTTATATTTTGAAATAGATCATCCAATGATGAAATCGTTTTCCATACAGATATCGAAATCTCTCTACATTGTCGTTCATCAGTTTGCCAAGACCTTCATTTCCTATCACCTTTTTTCTTCCTTTGTTATTACCCTGGCCTCTCCGAAAGAGAGGTGACACTCTCGCCTCCCAGAAGAAGAAGTGATTACCTTCGCCTGTCTTCCTTTCCTATCACCCTCTTTCGTCTGAGTCCCTTGCCTCTCCGAAAGAGCTCTTAGAGGAAAAGGTGATTACCCTCGCCTCTCTGAGGAGAGATGATTACCCTCGCCTCTCGAAAAGAAAGACGTGTGTGTGTGTGTGTAGGTGTGGGTGTGCGTGTTGGTGTGTGTGTGTGTGTGGGGTGGGTGTGTGGATGTGTGTGTTTGTGTGGCGTTTGTACTTCCGCTCGCATAATTCAGGGGCGGATCCAGCCAGAGGGGCGTGAATGTGAGAAATGAGTTGGTGCTGATCGGAAATATATGCAGATTTTAGAATTTTATACTAAAATTACTCTGTAATTGTTAACTACACTATATTGAAACATTAAACATATATGTGCAAGAATTCTCAATTTTGCTACCATTTTTATGTATACAATAGGCCTACCAATGATAATGATAATGACGACAATGTTGTTGTTTACGGTGAGGATGAGTATTAAAAAATTATGATAATTTGATAATGATATAATGACATTATTATATAATTACATAATGTGACAGGGTAATTAACCTTTTATATGATATTTACCTATGTTTCACTTTAAAAATTAAACACTGTAAATAATTTAAGACATGTACAAAACAAGTAGTGACTTCCACTAGCGTTAAATAGTTTGTTGTTGGTCCAACATTAGAAACAATTTGTGTGCAGTGATTGAGTGCGTAGAGGGGTGTGTATATTAAACAAGTCCTCTCACGTCCTATTTAGTGCGTGTTTCGTGATTAATATTTATCGAAGATGTCCAAACATGACACAATATTGGAAAAACCTAGAAAAGATTAAATAAAGCAGTAATTAGCCCATTAAGATTGTAGACATACAAATAATAATTAACATTTAGTGCTTAATTAAGGAGTCATAATTATAGCCCCCAGTTTAAATTATTTTTTTTCAAGAAAGCAATTAAAAAGTATAAACAATATATTTTGTTTGCTAGATTATATGTGTGTTAATACATCGTGTCAAAATGGAGGATATTGTCTTGATGATATCAACAACTCTACCTGCATATGTGTTAACGGATATATCGGAACATATTGTGAAATCGGTAGGACCATATTTTACTACTGTGTACATAATATTATTCAAACAATATTTAGGATACTCTGTTATGTTTTAGACTGAGTATAATTCTTCACTGTAATATTCAGTTTATGTAGGTAAGATATCACTCCTAGACTATATAAGAACAAGAAAAATTAAACAACTGACATTATCATTAGTCTACTACAGTATGAACAAATTGTGTATCCAACCATTGTGAAAGTTGGGTATCAATTTCGGCCGGAAATTGTTTTACTCTGTTTAGCCGGTCTCTCGATGTAATAGGTAAATAATAACTTATTTATATTACACTTAAAAAATAAGGTATATATCATTAAAATTATAATGTACTCTTTCTCTTGCAGATAAAGAGGTACCGGTCATAACCTTTTGCCCACCAGATATAAAGTTGTTGACCGGAATGACAACAAACACTGCTGCTGCCGCTTGGACTCCCGCCACCGCTGAAGATAACTCAGGTGTTCCTCCAAATATCGCAACAGATATTCAGCAACAAGATTTGTTGATGATTGGAAATTACCTTGTGTCAGTTACTGCGACAGATGGTTCAGGAAATACCAACACATCATGTTCCTTCAATATAAACGTTATAGGTAATTTATCAAATTTAGTTTTTTTTAAATGCATTAGGAATTCTCCATCTGTTTATGGTCATACATTATCGTTTGAGGATTCACATCTATAAATGCTGGCTTAAATGATATGTATAACATTATAAATTTAGTAGAGTCATTTTCATGAGATCCGTGACTAATTTTAGGATACCTTTGTTTCTCGATGGATTTGGCAAGATGGACCAATTTAGATAAAATATAGCTCCTATATACCTCCCAGATATTGGGGGAAAGTCCCGTTTGGGGGCGTTTTTCAAAATGGCCGCCTGTTGATTTGGACGCTTTTATCTCGATAACCACTGGTCAGAGAGACTTGATTTTGGTCTCAAATTGTTCACAATATGCATGTTCCTATTTGTTGTAATACAACTTTTTAACAAAAAATGGCGGGAAATGCGGTTTTTGAAAGTTTGACCTTTGACCTTGTAATGTCATATCTCAGTAACTACTGGTCATAGAGACTCACAATTGATTGCAAATTGTTCAGGAGATTCATGTTTATATT